GAGTTTTATAGAATATTTTTTTAAATTCCTTCTCCATCTTCAGGAATGACAGAATTTTGTTCAAACATCCTCTCCTCTGATTCTGATTAAGAGAACTAGATTTTGAATAAATGGTAGGTATCTACCACACAAGAGCCGAGGGGTGTTGCCCAATAGGGAATGCTATCTTGAAATCCATTGTGTTCTGTTTGCAATGTAAGTATTTTGACAAAATTTGGTTGAAAACATCCTTGGAGCTCATTTTCTGTACATGAAGTGTATGTAAATGGGCAGGGACAACATAAGAAACAGAAGTAAGGATTTAAGATTTTCTTTTTTTTCTTTTTGGATGGCGATATCTTTTATTAAGATTTAGACTGAAGCTTTGGCATTCCTCATCTTTTGGGGAAAATGTAACAGTATAGTGTGATTAAAATTGTTTTGAATTGAAAGCAAAATTTCCAAATGAGTGACACAGGACCTATTGGACTCTTCTTTTCCTAAAAGCAATCTTCAGCATTTCTACTTTACAAACCCTTAGGGATAATTCTATAAATTTGGAGGCAAGACCTTAAGTGGATATTGACTAGCTTTTTTTGCTGGAAAGTGTAAATATTAAAAGGTGTATACTGTTGATGGTGTGTCAATCAGATAAGAGAAAGTTGTTTTAACATACAAAATTACCAGTTATGGCGAATAGAGAAGGTACTTAAGGAAGCTGGTCATGTAAAGCCTGAATGAATTCAGCAACTCTATATAGTTTTGTTTATATTCAATATACTTTGAAATCATCAATTTTTGTAGTGGTTTTATTTTTGTTGATTTCATGGCACTCTTTTTTTTAAGCTTAATTAACAAATTAATTAATTGTTTAAATTAAATATCTATTGTTTATGAATTTTGCAAATCAAGTTTCAATGAAACTGTATTTTGTTGAAAAACTATGAAATTAGAGTCCCACAGGAATTTATTATATTACAGTCTACTGTAAACCTAATAACTCAGTTTAAGAATGAAACACATAATTTTAGTGAAAACAATACTTTGATTTATTTTTTTAAAAAATCTCCAGTTTGGGACAAATATTTATTCACTGGAGATTGTCAGATTCATTGAAATGAAGTGATGGATCTAGTCAAACTTAAGACTAGAGTTATGTTTCAATCTTGATTTCGAAACTACGTTTCCTATTTCAAAGAAACATTTTCACAGCCATAAAATTTAGCAGATTGAATGCATGCATTCTCCTGCGAACACCAGGAAAGTAAATAATTGTTAAAAAACATTTGTAGGCCCAATGACACAGAAAAATCTGAGGAAAATTCCCAGTGCCAATTTTTACAACTTTGTAGCATCTCAGAACTTTGCCGTAGATGTAATTACGGTTGATTCAATTTTGTAGTGTTCAGATGGTCAGCAATGTAACTTAAATGCATCCAACTGCATGTGCCCGAGGGCAGCCATTAAGGTGATTAATCACGGTACATTTAAAGCACAGCTACAGGTCAGGTGATTGACCACTAAAATCGACTGGAACTCTACGCTTGCTCTTCAGCTTGCTCAGAATTCAATAAACGTGTACATCCTAATAGAATAAGTACATTTGTGTAGAGAAAATTAAATAACTTCCCAAAGACAGTTTGTTTTATATTTTGTTTAACCATTTTTCTTATTTATTTGTTCTATCTTGAACATCAATCCTCACAACAGCTAGGATCAATTAAAAAAAATGTCAGGTTGTACGGGCGAAGATTTGCTGTGTGATCGTTGATGAAATGATTACTGTGTATACCATACATACAAGTTTTCACGCAATAACTGAAAATCAGTTTATTTTAAAATTCACTTTCTACTTGTAATGATATCCAGAACTAATATTAAGTTATACATAGATGTGATATGTTGATGGATCAAATTTATTCCTGAAATTATAACATTTATGATGTAAAAATAAATGAATGTTGTGTTTTCCTGTCATTGATCACAATTAGAATGTGTGATGATGTTACATTTCAGACCGAATAAAGTAAAGCATGGAAATATTTCTGCCAATAACTGCTGTATGATGTGAGTGACGGAAGGTCAGCTGTGGTAGGAAAAATATTGTTTTGATGCTGCCTACCATAGGGAGACATAGTAAGCATCAATACCCTGTTCTTCATGTCCCCAATTGTCTGAAGCACAATGTCCCGCCAGTTGCTGTGACCAGTATTATTGTCTGTGATACAGAATGGTCATAGCATCCACTGCAGTTTCAATGTTCACTATTATTGTCTATAGTACAGAACTGTCACAGCCTCAGCTACAGTCACAATGTTCACTATTATTGTCTATAGTACAGAACTGTCACAGCCTCAGCTACAGTCGCAATGTTCACTATCATTGTCTATAGTACAGAACTGTCACAGCCTCAGCTACAGTCACAATGTTCACTATTATTGTCTATAGTACAGAACTGTCACAGCCTCAGCTACAGTCGCAATGTTCACTATCATTGTCTATAGTACAGAACTGTCACAGCCTCAGCTACAGTCACAATGTTCACTATTATTGTCTATAGTACAGAACTGTCACAGCCTCAGCTACAGTCACAATGTTCACTATCATTGTCTATAGTACAGAACTGTCACAGCCTCAGCTAGAGTCGCAATGTTCACTATCATTGTCTATAGTACAGAACTGTCACAGCCTCAGCTACAGTCGCAATGTTCACTATTATTGTCTATAGTACAGAACTGTCACAGCCTCAGCTACAGTCACAATGTTCACTATTATTGTCTATAGTACAGAACTGTCACAGCCTCAGCTACAGTCGCAATGTTCACTATTATTGTCTATAGTACAGAACTGTCACAGCCTCAGCTACAGTCGCAATGTTCACTATCATTGTCTATAGTACAGAACTGTCACAGCCTCAGCTACAGTCGCAATGTTCACTATCATTGTCTATAGTACAGAACTGTCACAGCCTCAGCTACAGTCGCAATGTTCACTATCATTGTCTATAGTACAGAACTGTCACAGCCTCAGCTACAGTCGCAATGTTCACTATCATTGTCTATAGTACAGAACTGTCACAGCCTCAGCTACAGTCGCAATGTTCACTATTATTGTCTATAGTACAGAACTGTCACAGCCTCAGCTACAGTCGCAATGTTCACTATCATTGTCTATAGTACAGAACTGTCACAGCCTCAGCTACAGTCACAATGTTCACTATCATTGTCTATAGTACAGAACTGTCACAGCCTCAGCTACAGTCACAATGTTCACTATTATTGTCTATAGTACAGAACTGTCACAGCCTCAGCTACAGTCACAATGTTCACTATTATTGTCTATAGTACAGAACTGTCACAGCCTCAGCTACAGTCGCAATGTTCACTATTATTGTCTATAGTACAGAACTGTCACAGCCTCAGCTACAGTCGCAATGTTCACTATCATTGTCTATAGAACAGAACTGTCACAGCCTCAGCTACAGTCACAATGTTCACTATTATTGTCTATAGTACAGAACTGTCACAGCCTCAGCTACAGTCACAATGTTCACTATTATTGTCTATAGTACAGAACTGTCACAGCCTCAGCTACAGTCACAATGTTCACTATTATTGTCTATAGTACAGAACTGTCACAGCCTCAGCTACAGTCACAATGTTCACTATTATTGTCTATAGTACAGAACTGTCACAGCCTCAGCTACAGTCGCAATGTTCACTATTATTGTCTATAGTACAGAACTGTCACAGCCTCAGCTACAGTTGTAATGTTCACTATTATTGTCTATAGTACAGAACTGTCACAGCATCTGCTACAGTCGCAGTGTGTCCACTGTAGTCATTGGTACACAATGGTGATAATGTCCAGTACTGTCCACTACAGTCAGTGTCGACAATAGTCTTTGATACAGAGATAGCTCATTTTGAATTGTTTTATAATTTATGTTTTGCTTTAGTTTACATCACAGTAGCTATAGCCAAAAGGGATGATAATAAGCTTTCAAAATAAATGTTTATGACCATTTGAATCTATATTAGTGCATGTTAATGACCAGAACTGTAATCAGTTGTCTGTAAACAATTTAAATCAGAGAAATTTTTCCCTTGTTAATTCGAAATAATTCACTTTTGTCAATAGGTAGGAAAGATGAGTATTGTTCTCAATATATTCCCCTTGTAACTATTAGTATTTGATGTCTGCCTATCGCTTGTAGTTTTAAAGTATCATTCCTTTTGATTTGTAAGTGTAAAATGATGTTTGCTTTTATCTGCATAGGTTTAAACGATGTCCCTTTCACATTTATCTAGGTATATGTGATGGAGAGTCTCCAGCTTGGCTGCCCTATAGGTAGATGAGATAGCAGCTACTCCACCAATACACTGGGAGAGCAGTGAGGCTGGGCTTGATGCAGAGATCAGTGTGAGGAGGGCTGACAGGGAGATTGTCGCAGGGACTGTACAGTGTTGTGACAGGCACTGATGATAGTAGGGACATCAATTACAGGCCAACGATATCATTACAGCACAGTCATCAAGGTACATGTATATAGGTGTACTGCACAGGAACCACACCACAGGTGTGGCACGTCACACTTCCAATGTCATCAGCCAACTTTCACAACTAGCCTCATTATACAGTGTGTTGGTGTGGAGCATTGTAAACAAAGTTTATGATTTTGTGCTCAGTGTTGTATCACAAAGATGTTGTAGCTTACTACAGGAAATAGGATCATACTAAATGCCATGATTTATTGTTCAAGCTGGCAAGAATTCAAAATTCTAATTATATTTCATTGCATAGTTATGTAATAAGGAAAAAGAGGTTTTTGGCATTTAATTAGTTTTTGGACAACTTATCATATTTATAAAGGACTTAGAGAATCTGAAGAGAATTCCAATATTGCATGTGTTAATTTAGTAGTCCAAGTATGAAATATTGGAATATTGAATTGTGGGGATGATGATATGACTTTGACTGTGACTTTGTGAGGTTTTCTATGGATGAGATGCTGACACACTATGGGGTCAAGCCCCAGTTCACCTGTTAGAGACGTCACGGAGAAATTTTGGGTGCCACCGGCGGTGATTGAGAGGAAGCGGGCTCAGAGCTTGGTGCCTGCCCTCTCTCACCATGACAGTGATGACGGTAAGTTTGCTTTTAACATTTTATTCCTATCAAAAGGATTTCATTTTTTTTTGGCAATTGAGGTAATCATCTAGTACTGCTACCATTAATGTTGTACTATGTCCTCTATCATACTAATACTGTGCTACATGGTGATCTCTACTGTACATAGTGTCCTCTACTATACATGGTGACCTCTACTGTACATAATGTCCTCTACTATACATGGTGACCTCTACTGTACATAGTGTCCTCTACTATACATGGCAACCTCTACTGTACATAGTGTCCTCTACCATACATGGTGACCTCTACTGTACATAGTGTCCTCTACCATACATGGTGATCTCTACTGTACATAGTGTCCTCTACCATACATGGTGACCTCTACTGTACGTAGTGTCCTCTACCATACATGGTGACCTCTACTGTACGTAGTGTCCTCTACCATACATGGTGACCTCTACTGTACATAGTGTCCTCTACCATACATGGTGACCTCTACTGTACATAGTGTCCTCTACTATACATGGTGACCTCTACTGTACATAGTGTCCTCTACTATACATGGTGACCTCTACTGCACATAGTGTCCTCTACCATACATGGTGGCCTCTACTGTACATAGTGTCCTCTAATATACATTGTGTCCTCTACTGTCATAGAGTCCTCTACCATACATGGTGACCTCTAATCCATATGGCGTCCTCTACTATACAAGGTGACTTCTACTGTACATAGAGTTCTCTACTATACATGGTGCCCTCTACTGTACATAGTGTCCTCTACTATACATGGCAACCTCTACTGTACATAGTGTCCTCTATTATACATGGTGACCTCTACTGTACATAGTGTCCTCTACCATACATGGCAACCTCTACTGTACATAGTGTCCTCTACTATACATGGTGACCTCTAATGTACATAGTGTCCTCTACTATACATGGTGACCTCTACTGTACATAGTGTCCTCTACTATACATGGCAACCTCTACTGTACATAGTGTCCTCTACCATACATGGTGACCTCTAATCCATATGGCATCCTCTACTATACAAGGTGACTTCTGCTGTACATAGTGTCCTCTACTATACATGGTGATCTCTACTGTACATAGTGTCCTCTACTATACATGGTGACCTCTACTGTACATAGTGTCCTCTACTATACATGGCAACCTCTACTGTACATGGTGACCTCTACTATACATGGTGACCTCTACTGTACATAGTGTCCTCTACTATACATGGTGATCTCTACTGTACATAGTGTCCTCTACCATACATGGTGACCTCTACTGTACGTAGTGTCCTCTACCATACATGGTGACCTCTACTGTACGTAGTGTCCTCTACCATACATGGTGACCTCTACTGTACATAGTGTCCTCTACCATACATGGTGACCTCTACTGTACATAGTGTCCTCTACTATACATGGTGACCTCTACTGTACATAGTGTCCTCTACTATACATGGTGACCTCTACTGCACATAGTGTCCTCTACCATACATGGTGGCCTCTACTGTACATAGTGTCCTCTAATATACATTGTGTCCTCTACTGTCATAGAGTCCTCTACCATACATGGTGACCTCTAATCCATATGGCGTCCTCTACTATACAAGGTGACTTCTACTGTACATAGAGTTCTCTACTATACATGGTGCCCTCTACTGTACATAGTGTCCTCTACTATACATGGCAACCTCTACTGTACATAGTGTCCTCTACTATACATGGTGACCTCTACTGTACATAGTGTCCTCTACTATACATGGCAACCTCTACTGTACATAGTGTCCTCTACTATACATGGTGACCTCTACTGTACATAGTGTCCTCTACTATACATGGCAACCTCTACTGTACATAGTGTCCTCTACCATACATGGTGACCTCTAATCCATATGGCATCCTCTACTATACAAGGTGACTTCTACTGTACATAGTGTCCTCTACTATACATGGTGATCTCTACTGTACATAGTGTCCTCTACTATACATGGTGACCTCTACTGTACATAGTGTCCTCTACTATACATGGCAACCTCTACTGTACATGGTGACCTCTACTATACATGGTGACCTCTACTGTACATAGTGTCCTCTACTATACATGGTGACCTCTACTGTACATAGTGTCCTCTACTATACATGGTGACCTCTACTGTACATAGTGTCCTCTACCATACAAATATTGTCCTCTACTATACATATAGTGTCTTCTATCATATATATATCTATATAGTCCTCTGCTTACATAGAGTGCCCCTTACAATACATACACATCCTCTCTCATATATAGTGTCGTCTACTGTACATAGTGTCAGCTACCATATATAGTGTCTATCTATCACAGCATCATGTCTATGAGAAGTGACATTGAAACAGCATACTATGTCCAAGAAGTATTGTGTTCATTCTGTACATCCTTAAATTTGTAATAAGAATATTATACAAATATATTGACATGTTTTATCAAGATATTAATATTAAAAGCTATGGGGTTAGGGGAGGGGGCATTCTTACTTGAATAGGTGTCTGTGTGTTGGTGAAAATTTATTCAATCATTTCATATTGTTTTTTATTCAGTTATTCATCTTCATGATTTAATTGGAAATGACATCCCTTGTATGTTGTTAGCTCACCTGGTCTGATGGACTGCGGTAAGCTTATGTCATGGTGCAGCATTCACTCGTTGTCAACTTTCTTTAAAGGATTCCTTCTCAAGAACATTTTAAAATAGGATCATAGAATCTTTGGCAGAAGGTAGTGCAGACTTGATAGACTAGTGGGGGATGTGCTGAAAAGGAAAAATAAAGATATTTCTTTAATAATCTTCTCATAAGGCATAAGTGGGATAACTTAGATATTGAGTAAATTGTAAGATGTCCTCAGGATGTAGTTATCGAATTGGCGAAAGCGAGTGATAATGGGTTCAGGTGGTTCGGCTTTGATATTTTATGCAATGATGTATGAAAGATGTATATATTAGATTAATGATAGAGTAAAACAGTCAATATTCCTCACCTTATAATCATATACCTACTGGCTGTTCCCACAAAAATAAATGTACCAAAAATTTGAGATGATAGATAAAAACAGGCAAAATGCTGGTTGTTCCTAGAGGCTTGGCCATGTCACTAATCATACAAAAGTGAATTCATGTTGGAATAAGGACAAGAAACATCTGCAAATGAAATATATAGGACATTTTTATTACAGATCTTACTTAAGGTTCTAAAATGGGAATAAAACACTATAAAACCAGTTTATTTTTTCCACACACAAATTTGCTATTTGGTATCAAAGTACAAAATTTCTTATTTTAGTCTTGTCAGATGTTTTTGCCGTTGAAGAGGTGGATCTAAGTTTATGTATTGTAACTCTTTCTTCATTAAAATTCGCCACTTCAATATAGTGAAAACCAGACACTAGCAAACAAATCTCTAATAAAGTTAGAGTGATCTTTTCAAGGGAAATAACTCTTATAAAATTCACTGGTTAAATACGCAATGTAAATAAGCTCATTGTATCTTTAATGGATATCAGATGAGTTTTAATCATCCATAAAGTGTCTAAGTGACTTTATGTGTGATGTATCAAATTCTATTTTTTTGGTTGTAGCTGGTTATGTATGCATTAACATGTCCTAAGAAGCTAGAAGCCACAATTAATACATGTACCTGGAATACGATCACTCAACTTAAACTGAATCTAGACATTATATGTGTACGCCCGACTCTTTGAAAGAAAGGCAATGATTGGCTGTTTATTTATTGGAGTATGTAGCTGCAGCTGTAAAACAAACACTTTTCTCACTTAATCATTCACTGCTGTTCGACAACCTTAATTTGTTTATCTCTCCTATTTAGTTCCATCTGTGTGACTGTCTGGAGCTTCCTTATCTAAGTAAGCTCTGAAAATTTCTACCTAAGATTACTTCCCATATCACTGACATGTGCCATTAAATAATTGCAACCAGGCAAATGTGATTTTCAATATTGATGTGAAGGGTCTCAATGGAGTGAATAAGTCAATTATTAGTAAAATGTAAAACAGTTGCATTCAGAGCTCTCTTGATCAAAATTCAGGAGAGCTTACATCTTGCTGTGTCATTTAATGTCCATTTCCATGCAGTGGATGACATTTAAGACCTCCTGTACTGGGTAAGGCATGGTCCATACGTGGTTTTTACCGAAATTAACACATGTAACACATTCAAGATAGCCACTTTGGCAGCCATTTTGTAAATTGTCTTATCACTTCTCCTCCTGAAAAGAAAGCTTATTGAAGACAGGAATTCCACTTATGAGCTATGTATGGTCCACAAACAGGTAATCTATTTAAAGTGGATGCCATTTTGAAGCTAAAGTTATTGTTTCGAAAGTCATATAAACATAGAACCCACTTTTGAGTTTGGATAAAGATTCTGTTTCTGTGTTGATAATTTCTTGCCGTTTTTATCTTTTTAATGAATGGTTGTGTTTTGCCACCTTAATCTCTACATTGGCTTGTATAATGGTTTATATTATCACTTTTTTCCCAATTTTCTATTTTGTTTATGCTAAGTATTGAAGAGAAAATAATGTAATTATAATAAAGATAGCAGAGATAATAATGAACTAGTTGATGTATGGCTATAACAGGTAACATCAATGGCCGTTGCTGAATCTCTGTGATATCAATAATCGGCGTTATTTTATGGCAAGACCACAATTTATTGTCACATCTGTTCTGATTAGGTGTTTCATTCTCGTCAGAAATGATTAGTACTATTATTGTATTATGGTCTTTCCCAGAGGGCATTGGTCTCCTATAGTATTGTCTTCGTACTACACTGTATACAGAGACTGATCATCCGAAATAACACCACAGGAGAAATATGCTAGTGGGAAGGAGAGATAAGGGCTTTGATACATCGCAGGTTATTAAAACTTATAAAAAGATACAACATCTGTTGATATTATTGCTATTTCATGGGGGAGGGCTAAGGGGATTGACATCATGAGTG